CCTTTTGAAGGTCAATTATATCTTGAAAACTATAGACAGCAATAGTGTGCATTTTTATTTTCATTTTTGTTCTTTAAAAATGTGTGTTTAAAATGGTCTGTATGTTTTAATTCTAATGGAGGGAATTATAAAATTCTAAATGACTAAAACAATGTGTTTTCACATTACCTTGTTTTATAGTTTTCTTGGTGACTATGTTTCTGGAGCCTTGAATTATAAAATTAATTCATATAGGTATTACAAGTGTAATGGATCTTTAAGGCTAAATATTTTTGAAGCACTATAAATAAAAAACTTCTACATTGTTAATTTAAACATTTTTTGTATAATTTTGAGGACTTAAAAAATGTTCCTACTCAGATCACACAGCACCTTTCCACAATTTAACATGTGTGGACCTCTATTCACTTTCCTATTGATGACATGCTTTTTCTAGCTAGATTTAAAAACTGTGTTTTTATATGTCTTTACCATTCTTATTTTTTCAGAAATAAATACGAGGCCTAGAATGTTGGTAGTTTCTGCAAAACTACTAAAGTAGCAAGTGTAGATGTAATGCATATTGTGTTTTACTTGCCTGGACTTAATGTTTAAATAATTCATGTTAGCCAGCTTTTATTAAGTTTCTACTATATCATTTAGACCCTAGGTACACAAATGTACTGTTCTCACCAATAAATACTGATGAACATGTACTCAGTACAAGAGACTATACTACATATGATAAAAATCAAATTAACAGATTCCATATTCCAGAATGTTTCTATTGTTAGGAGCAGAGGAAAATTCATACACATAAAATTATGACACACATTTTGCCATCTGCAAAGAGAGATACTAAATAAATGGGTTCAAAGTTCCAAAGGATGTGTAAGAAAAGAATATGCAATTATGGGGTTCAGCACAAGCATCATGGGCAAGGTGGCACTTAAAATGAGCCGGGAAGCACGCATAGGACAGTAAATACTAAAAATAGTTTCCTTCCTTCCAGAGGATGCCAAAAGAGTCTTATGCAACATGTCAATATAATATGCATTTTTTTCCCTTCCACTTCTTGCTCAACTTAAATGGACATAGTATTTTCCAAATACTATTTAGGTCATGTACAAGTATCATGTGAAACAACCTTGCTCTTGTTGTGATTAAAATGTAAAAAGTCAATTTTGCTCCTTTTGATTATTGCTTATTTCTTGCAACTTCAGGCTGTGGGGTACAGTTGTTATTCTCTCACCACTGTGCAGACAGTCCTTGCCACAGTGCTTGACAGAAAGTGCACTCAATAAATAAGTACATACATACATACATACATACATACATACATACATCCTGCAGGTTTGTTTGTTTGTTTGTTTGTTTCATTACTCACACTTCTTGTTTTTTGACCTGCGATGCTTTTCCTGCAATATTCAGAGGCCGATAGAGAAGTCCCTCAACTGCAGGAAATCGTAAGTTGGTTAGTATGGATGGAGACTGTGAATGTTGCAGGAGACCACATTTGAAGGGTTTCTTACATGTCGTGTGGAAATACATAGGCTCTGCTAGCATTTTGTAATAACTAGAATGTCCCAAAAGGATACTTGGTCAAATGCTGCTGACAAGTGTGGCAATAGATGACTGCAATCTTAATAAAAGCAGTTTGAATTGAGTAGTTTCAAAGGAGTGGAGTGTGTCAGTGTATGATTTAAAATGAGGAACACGAGATGCATATATGGAAAATACTTTTAAAAATTATGTTCTGAAGATGAACAAAATTATTTGCTAGCTACAGGGAAAATTGGGATCAAGTAAGATTGATAGTTGATGTTCTTTGTTTTCTTTCACTTTATTGTCATTCCAAAGTTCTGGAAAATTGTATTGGGCTCACGTGAATGACTGACTGGGTGTGTATATGGCAGGAAGGGAGGAAGGGAGGAAGGGAGAGAGAAAGAGAGCCTAATCATGCAAAAAAGTTAGTAGACACTTGAAAGATTACTCTCAGAGAGTAGATATGGAGTTCCTAATTCAAATAAAGTTAACAGCAAGAAAGGTTAAGAGGGTAGGTACAAGTATACATATTTGGAGATTTGCTGGTAGAAAAATAATGAAGTCCCTTTTCGATGACTACTGTTTTCTCAGCACACAGACAAAATATGCCAGCTAAGAGTCGCAAAGGAACAGAGCTTGTAAGGATTTAGAAGAATGAGGTGAAGTTACAAAATAACCATGTTGATGTTAGGAATTGAAGTTGGCCAAGAGAGCAATACTAAGATTGTCCAGTAGCCTTTTATGTTCCGTTTGGATTTCTGACCATGATTTGATGGCAATGAAAAATTATGGTTTTGTGATATTTTTATTGGATGACATTAAACCCCACTGTTTTCCTCTCTATACTTCTATTTGGATTTCTTCAGCTAACCTCAAATTAAATAATGCTTTAAACATAACCATTATGTTCCCCAAAACACATTTTACATTTACTGTTCCCTGTGAGGAAATGGCACCAGTTCATGTGCAGTTTAAGCCAAACACCTGAGAGTCACTCTTAGAATTTCTTACTCATCTGACCCATTAAATGCTCCATGAAATCTTATTTATTTCACTTCATACTTGTTTCCCGGATTCACCTACTCTTACCTATGACTACTGGAACCCCTCTTGTCATGTAACAGTGTCCCTTTCTGGATCAATGCAATAAGAACAGAAGGGCCAGTTGCCCCCATCCATGCTCCCCTCCAGCCTGTTACCCATACTGCTGCCAAATGACCTCCTGAACACCACTTTGATCTTCCTATGTTCCTGCTCATAACTTTGTAATGACCTCTCTCTGTTCATAAATTCAAGTTCCAAGTAATAACTATAAGGTGATTGTGACCTGGTGTCTTCTTTCCTGTCTGACTTGGTCTCTGCCACTGTATTCCTACTCTCGGCCTGATCAATTCTCTAGCTTCCTTCATTTCTCTATTGATTCTCCACCTTTTTTGGTCCTTGGGATGTTCCCCTCTAAGGTACTGTAATGCTCCCATTCAAATGGGATGATATCATATTCATCTTTTACAACTCAGCAGAGATTCAGTTGCTTTGAAAAGTCTTCTTTGACATCCAGTCTAAATCAGATGTTGATGTTCATGCTCATAGCTCTCTTTCCTAGCATAATCATATTTATAATTATTTATGAAATAATTTTAAGACTCATAAACACAGGGCAATTTCTAATTTGTCTACCTCTGTAACACAGTACTGAACAAATGTCTGGCCCACCACACCTGCTGAAATAATTTTGTTAGATTATTGAACAGCAAGATACATTTATCAACTTTTTACTTACATTTATGTTATTTCCTATTTCCAAAGTTGAACAGCAGTTTTACACATGATATCATATAAAGCTTTTACATTAAAAGGCCATCATTAAAAAGAAAAGGTGATTTTTGTTTCATGAATGACAAGTGAATTTCAAATATGTAGAATGAATGGATTGGCACTTCATGTATTTGAAAGCACAGAGTGTTTTAAATGGGAATAAAAGGATGAAAGAGGAAATTGGAAAACTTAGCTAAGGATGGGACTGGCTGCTACAGCAATCTTATTATAAGAAAAAAAATATTTTCAATCTCCTCCTAATCACTTAACTACAAGAATGCCCTTAATACTATGTAAAAGGTCTTCTCTTTCAAGTACGTTCACCTACTCTCTGAATTTGTAAGAGTATTAAGGCTTTGCTATCGCTATAATTAGATCTACTGAAAAAAGTACCTTCTCATTTTTGTCAGGTCCTGATCATTCATAGTGATGACAGAACACCTTAGCACAGATTACTAAAATCCCAGATCATTTATGACACATGAAATTTAGCCCTAATTCATTTTGTCCATCAAACATTTTTATTGAAATAGAGGTTTGCCTTGGAGCTTTAGCAAATGGTCATTGATTCATAAATACATGCTCTTAAATGTATATGCTGTAAATTTTAGAAATACTGAAAGTATAAATAGTTATTAGATTCGTGTAAACTAAGCCCTAAAAAGTAATCAAACCATAAGCTTGGTTTCTGTTGGTCTTCAAATGGATCACACTGGGCAATTGAAATATTGAAGTTTGATTTTATTAGCCACACTGAGAAGAAAGAAAGACACAAAAGTTTAGGGAATGAACAGAATAAAAAGATTTACTTCACTAACACTTATTTACCTGACCACCAACTTTGAAATGTTAAAAAAAATATCAGAGAACATTTTCTTGATGTGATTCTAAATAGTTCAGTTAGAGCCTTTACGCCATGCCATTCATTCACTTATTATTATATAACAATTTATAAACACCTGTGGCCAAACACTATGATAAGTATTGCAAATGCAAGATAAAATGAGACACACATTTTACCTTTCATAGATCATTATAATTTGTATAAGTATGACTGATATTAGAATAAGATGCATATAGAATCGAAAAAATAAATTCTATAATGTAGTAAAAGGTAAAACAAATGGCTAAAATCTAAGTCCTCCAGAAATCAACCTCATGTAAATAATGCACCAGCTCATTCCTGCATCCTCTCCAATCTATCAGCATTTTAAAACCTTTAGCACCTACTAATTAGTTAATCACACAATTTTGAGCCCCTACTGTGTACCATACCATTCTATGAGCATCGTGGCAAATTTGCTTTTGTCTAACATAAGATGTATTAATAGAGGATATGAAAATTACATTCAAAACACTACTTCAGTTTTAAACACAAATAAGTATTTTCTACCTGTTATTTCTTATAAGCTCCTGTAGCATAAAAACAATCATTAAATATATATAACATTTCAAACATGTTTAAATACTTAGAGTACATATTTGATTACCTGAACAAATAGCCATGTACTTATGATTCAGAAGCTTATGAAAAACATTGAAATTAATACAAATTGTGTGATATGTAATCTGTGTATACTAGTCAAAATAATGACATTATTCACAAAACAAACCCTGCATCTGTTCCAGGGAAAAGCTTAGTGTCTTATTTCTTTTGACAGTGTGCAGACCTGGGTTCTTCAAAGCCTCACCTCACAGCCAGAGCTGCAGCAAATGTCCACCTCACAGTTATACCCATGAGGAAGCTTCAACCTCTTGTGTCTGTGAAAAGGATTATTTCAGGAGGGAGTCTGATCCACCCACAATGGCATGCACAAGTAAGGAAAACCACGGATATTCGGTGATTCTTTCACCAGTTTGAAGAAAGAGCATGGCGGAGCCTGTTCCATTCCCTCACCATTTCCCCCACAACAGGCATAATGCTTAACCTTCCAGTACGGTTTTTCACCACATTCCAGTCTTCTTGAACATGCACTGAAAACGCTGAGGCTCTTTAACCTCTCACTGTGAGAAGCATCCACTTTCCCTAATTTCAGTGTCAACCTCTAAGACACAGAGATAGAAGTTTTCCTTTTATTTTGTGAGTTCTTTTAGTGGTAGCCAAACGAGACTTTGACCGATCCTGTTCATGGTACATTTTCCTCTTCTTCTTCCAAGTCAGCTTTCTCATCACATGAACATGCAGCCAATGGCAGTTCACCTTGTGTTCGATCTCACACCACTAAGCGACTAGACCAGTGGAAAGGTCATTTATAACAGAAGACAGGACATGTAACAAGAACATGGATAACTGGGGGTTGGCAAATCTATTTTAAGTGTCAGATATAAAACCAATTTTTTAGCTAGGGTTTTCAAGCAGTTACAGTGTTTCTTCTGAGTGTCCTTAACTATTATTAATTATCTGAGCAGTTAATCGTATAATTAGAGTGGTGAATAGTAAACACCTAATTCCAACATTTGCAGTAGGTGCACTCACATTCGTTCATGTTTTGGTGATTTAGCTTTTCTAGTGTTCTGTATATTTCTGGGAAGGAAACAAATTTATATATTTGTTTGCTTCATGACAATACTTTCATAGTTTTTTCACATTCATGATCTCTATAGCAAATCAAAAAACTGAAAATGAGAGAGAAGAAAAGTGGATTTCCTTTCCCATACAGTCAATTTTCATGATGTGCCTTGTTTTATTATTTTAGATTTCATTAAGTTGTAATTGCTCTCAAAGATGACAGATTTTTTAAATTTAGTATTCATTAGTATTAAATATATAGAGACATACAATGCCTTTAATTAAGTAATCACAAATTAAAGTTTTATCTGAATTTTAGTATCTGAATTCCATAGTGTCAGTGAAACATTTTCATAATTCTTCAAATTACTGAGATTAATTAGCTTTATATTACTAAAGATCATTCTTTTATAAGACTGCTAATTTTATGGGTTAAACAATTACTAATTATAAGTGAGTCATCTTCAAATGAGTAAACGACATTATTATATACACTCTTGGGGATTTGAAGAGAGGAGACTGTGATTGAATGTGATGAATTTTGTTTGCAGTGGAGATTATTTTGATTATTCAGAGCAAAAGAAAACCCAAATAGCAGAGGAAATGTTGGGTAGACAATATAATAGTAAATTAGGGAGAGAAAATCATGTCTTGAAATAGCTTTAAAAATCATTCATTTTCTAGTTATTATTTTTTTTTTAAGTGGTCCAGCCATGATCTTTCTCTTTCTTAGCATGCATGAGCCTCCTTTCTGTAAATGTGTCAGACCTGGGAATGGAGAGAGCCTGTGCTTTGGTGGCAAGGGCTTCTTAGCTTAGCACTCTTTAGGGATCTGAGGCTTCATATTTTCTCTGTCTCCAGGTGTGCAAATTTCTAACACTGTTTCCAAACAACACTACTTTGTATGTATTTCTCAAAAAGACTATTGGGACTTGTGTAGATGATCTTTCTAATATATAATCTGTGAGTGTGTGTGTTTTCTTTTTACCACCACAAATACTGCATATGATCTCCTTGAACAGATGGCTTGATTGTGTTAAGAGAGAATCTAGAATTTTGCTTTCCCTTTGGCTCTTTGGAATTAAATGCATGGTTTCAACTCCTTTTAATGTTTTTTGGTTGTTGTTTTTTTTGGTACATACATAATCTGGAAAACAAAATGTTATAAACCTACAGGAAAAGAAAAATGAAACAAAAATAAAGATTCTAATGAATCTTCTTAAATCAAGCGTACTTCTCACAGTTCTACTTTGGTTCATACATCACACACAGAAACAGGGCCGTGGAATTTCACTGCATTATTTGTTAGGTGCAAGTCTGTCTGAGCTTCTACTTTTTACTTCTACTTTAAGGCTTCACTTAAATTCGAGTTTCATTTGTACCCAAATATTAACAGGCTGTTAGTAGCAGAGTCAGAAGAAAAGAAAAAGTCAGACACACTGCATTTTTACTGATTTAGAGAAAAGGTGTTACATGTGGCTATATTTCACTTGGCAGAAAAAATCCTAGATATTCATTCTCTTTCTGAACTAGACATATTTCAGGTATTCTTTACCATTTTTTTTTTTTAGAAGGAAACCTATTACATTTGATCTCAAATTATATTTTCTGCATAACTTTTCACTATTAAATAATGTAAAGGTTATAGTAAAAATAATATTTGTTGTTTTATCTTAAGTAATTGTTTCAATTTAAAAGTGGCTGTTCTTCATTGAAGTGTGTGAGGTTGTATGTATGAAAAAATTCACAGGATTCAACCATAAATATAGCCAGGGTGGGGACAGTTTTGTCAAAAATGGCAACTCTTTGGTTATGCAGTCCTTTAATTTAAATAATATTTTGTAAATACTAGGTAGCTTTCCTATCACTTTTAAATTTATTGCTCAGCAATAACGGCTTTATAAATTTTAGATAGAAATGAATATTAATCCCTATATTTAGAACAGACAGTGTATATCAATATAACTAAGCTGTGTCATCTTAAATTTGCTTAATTTTTGCTTATGAACCACTCAACTACCACCATAGTCTACTTCATTTTCTGCCAGGAAATATTTACTAATTAAGTCTGAAACAAATATAAACTTATTTTCTCTTTGAGAACATCTGATCACATAACATTAATAGCTGACTGAAGTTTTAACTCCAAGTATTTAAAAATGGACTATAACGTTAGACATTATGCAATCAATTTTTTAAAAGACTTTCTCATTTAGTCCACTATTATCTTCACAGAGGGATTCAGAGGAATGCCCTGTAGTCCCTGTCTGTACATATTCACAGCCTTCCCCATTGTCAACCCCACCAGAAGGGTGCAATTATTGTCATTATATGTCATCAATTTTAGTTCACTTTAGTGTTCTAATTATCAGTTTCAGAAATATGTAAAGTAATACACAAATACATACTATTTATTATTTACTGATACATTTGTTCTGCTAATCCCTCAAGATCTGAATACTTTTATTCTTCCCATTATACTGTTTTTGTTATTTTAAAAATAAATTTTAGTTTCCCAATTGAGTAAAATTCATAATTGGCAAAAAGGCACCATCTTAAAACAATATCAAAAACAAACAAACAAAAAAGAAAACACACTTTATTACAGGTTGTAATACTGACCAACTACTTAAATTCTAGTGCTTCTTTTAACGAATGAGGGAAGGTTTCAAACTCCATCGTTGAGTTATGAGTAGATAAATATCTATTTTGAGATAAGCTAGAGCTATTTTTTACTTTCTGCAGAATTTATCTTAAAGAGCCACATTGAAAAATCTGGTTTTCCTATGTTCTTTGCTTAGTAACCCTTGATGTTTACTTCCTGTGCTTTAGGGAAAATTACTAATGAGGAAGTAATTAATTCATTTCCTAAGGAGGATTTTTCCTTGTATTCGGTAAAGGACTTGCCCTTTTAAAATATATAATTTTGTCAAACACTACTTTTGCATATATAGTTTTATTCCATAATTACTTACATATACACTAAGCAAAATAACTGAACTGTTACAATTCCAAGATAAGTCATTTTGATAAGGTATACATTCCAGTATTGTCCCTACAAAACCATAACACAGTTTTTTAAAGATCACTGCAAAAGATGACTCTTTGATTCTCCCTACTTAAAAGACGAATTGAAAATTTTTTTTTTTTTTTTTGCTCTTTCAGACCAGGGATTTGTGTAGTAAAAATGACTATCTTAAAATATGTTTTTCTCACTTTACTTTGCAAACCAGGACCCCCCTCAGCTCCTCGGAATGCTATCTCCAATGTTAATGAAACTAGTGTCTTTCTGGAATGGATTCCTCCTGCTGACACTGGTGGAAGGAACGATGTGTCCTATTATATTGCATGCAAGAAGTGCAACTCCCATGCAGGTGTGTGTGACGAGTGTGGAGGCCATGTCAGGTACCTCCCCCGGCAAACCGGCCTGAAAAACACCTCTGTCATGATGGTGGATCTGCTCGCTCACACAAACTATACCTTTGAGATTGAGGCAGTGAATGGAGTGTCCGACTTGAGCCCAGGAGCCCGGCAGTATGTGTCTGTAAATGTAACCACAAATCAAGCAGGTAAGTGTGATGCCCAACTAAATAATGTACCTTAGGCCAAGCTCTGTCAATTATTTCCCCAGCCGAGGGCTAAGTTGCCCGAGATCTGTGAGAACTCATGAGAACAGAGGGTTAGGACTTGAAGGAGAATACATCTCGAAATGCTTTTTTTAGTTGTAAATAAAGGCTAAGGCTTTTTTAGCAGACACGTTCATGGACAGAAAAAAAAAAAAAGAGAGAAGATGTTCTTATTGGATTTTTCATCAAAAATACATTTCTGGCTCAAAATCCATTTACAGCAAAATTTTGTGTCTCGATTTCAAGCAGCGCAATAATTATAGTTCATTCTACATTTTTGTTGTTGTTTTGTTTACTTCAAGTTTTATAAGTTAATATTTTAACATACAATCAAGCTGTGTTTATTTGCTTGTGTGTTCATTTGTTTGTTTGGTACCACAGCTGAATTTTCTTTGCAGGTTGTAAAAATCTTTTCTTATTATTTCTATTGTAACGGGTGCATGAAATGATTTTTAAAATAAATCCAGTTATGAAAATTAGAATAACTATGAACTATGTAAAACCACATGAAAACACATCTATCTTCCATATGAAGCTCTTGGAATTATTAGGTAGTAATTATAAGGGAGTAGGAAATACAGTTCTGCTTGAGATACTAATTTTCCTATATTTTCCCCTCAAATACTCACTTTTAAACAAATCATAAAAAGTTTCTTTTCTGTTAAAATAAGAACAAAAGATAAACTATGGCTGAATTAATAATTCAAACTATTATGTGGCAATAATCATTCAAAGCCTGTTCATAATTTATAACCTCTTTTTGCCAACAACAGTTATCTGGGGGAGGGGGAAGCATTAAAAGCCAACAAATTATAACTTTCCTCTGTGCCACGGGCACAGCTCCAGTTGAAGGGCATAAGCTTGTCCACTCATTAGTATTTCAGGTGGACTTTGTCTGTGTGGACATCTTGCCAGAAATACTCAGTGTAACAGGTTGTGTTTGAATGGAATCGGCCTTAGCCATATAATATTAGTACAAGTTTTTAGTTTGTGGAATGACTGAGTTGACAAGGGAATGCTAATGGTAATCAAGTCTTGGCCAAAATAATTTGAATTGTTAGATATATCAAGTCAATCAAGTGACTATCACTGAAGAGTAAGAAAATGTATGCAGTTGAGTTCGTAGTGATTTCCGATTGATAAAACTAAAGGAAACATTCAAGGGTCTCCAGACGATATGAAGATATTTAAGTAATTCACTAAGAATCAATCTGAACATTGTAGATTTTGTATCTACGTTGAATACATCTCACAGAATTTTTTTTATTCCATGAGAGAAAATATTGCACTTATATATGCTACATTTCTCAGTGAATTTATATTTTCCTCTATTTACTCTTTAGCTTAAGGTAGAACTTTAAAAAAGGCTAAAGAGCTGGACAAGAATAGTATAGACTCAGGTGTCAGCAATACCAGTATTTGTCGATTTTTCATCACAGTAACTAAATGTCACATGTGTTCAGTAAATGTAAACTGTCTTCGCACATCAGGAAAATACTGGCTTTAAACGTGTGATTTCAGGCTTCTGGTGCAACATCTTTCAACCTTTATTGGCTCTGCTGTGAATCTTTCATTAACATATTGAAAGCATGTCGAACAATCACCAAGAGTTGTATTCCTTCCGGAGATCGTTCCGCATCTTGCATAACCTTTATGTATTTGAAAGATAGAAAGATAGTTCTCTGACGAACTAGATGTAGGAGATGGCTGTTTATTTTTAAAATGATGTGCTTAATCAGTATGTCCTCTGGTCATTTTTTTACTTGCTGGCCTGTTTAAACTGCAAAGTGTGTTTTTTTGGAACTATGAATACCTTAAGTACCAAGAAAGAATAATTTTCAACCCGCTGTTCAAGACATGGTTATCATGTAAAACAAACATTTGTATTCAGAGAAAGCATTTTGTTGATTTTTACTTTTTTACAAAGTTCTGAGTACAAAGTTCAGGGTACACATACTCTAAAATATTTACAAACCTACCAAAAAAAAAAAAAAAATCAAAATAAGGAGCTAGTTCTCAGTATCTGACATTCTAGACCAACCAAGTCTCTATTTCTACAAAAATTGTTGACTTCAATGAGCTCATAAAGAGTCTTAGACTTAATGTTACCTTTACTAGACATTTGTCAAGTACCACCTTTATACAAAATGTGCTGTGGTAATTAGTTTTAATGCCTGAATATTGTAAAGCATTAAATTGAAGAAAGTTATCTGCACCATATGTACATTTTATTTAAAATTACTTTCAGCAGATTTTAACTTTAGTTTCAGTCTTCTCTAAGGATTTTGTTTTTGTTATATGCATTTCTTTCTTAATTGATTTGTTTCAAATTTGTAATTTGTTCTAGTATTTTCTTATTTATTTTTGTGCGTGTGTGTCGTCAAAGCATGTATGACCTGTTCAGATTTAAAATTATATTCAGAAAATACAGGTAAAATAGTAATTTTTTATACTTTGAAACAATTCATGTTTATGTTTATTTTTAAATTACAGTTTACATTTAGCATTATTCTGTGTTAGTTTCACATGTACAGCAAATAGGTTAGAAAAGCATGTACTTGACAGAGTGGTCCCTGTCACTCCAGCATTCATCTGGCATCACACACAGTTATCGTGATATTATTGGCTTTATTCTCCGTGTTGTAATCTACACCTCTGTGGGTGCTCTGTAACTACCAGTCTGTACTTCTCAACCCTTTCCTCTTTCTCCTAGCCCCTAGAAGTCTGTGTCCTCTGTATCTATGAGCCTGTTTCTATTGTGTTTGTTTATTTTGTTTTTAATATTCCACATATAAGTGAAATAGTAATTTTTAAGATGAAAATCTTTCATTAAGCTAGGAACTGAAGTTGATTAGGTTAACCCTGGCTGACGAGTCTACAAAAAGAAATAATAATGATTTCCTGCTGAGGATAATGATTAAATGATTAATTTATGGATGTTTATACAGTATTTAAAACATTTTCTCTATCATTATGGAGTCTAGTATCTTGCTTTTGTGAGAAATTGTCCAAATTTAAATGTTACTTTTTTATGTATAACCTAATATTGAAGTCAAAAAACAAAGTTTTAAAAAAAATTAAACAATAGTGTTTGGAATTTATGTTCCTTGTAAAATGTAGAAATAGTACTGAAGTTGACAGGAATGAGTTGTAAAATGTGAGAATTTTCATGGTCAAAAAAAAAAAAAAATAAACACATTTACAGAGAAAAAAAGCAAGTAAAATAATTTACATAATGGTGAAGGAATACTGTCTGTGGGGAAAGGGAAAATAATAGGAAAATTGAATGTGAATGCCTTAATTATGTAAAGAACTCAACAGTGAAATTTCAAAGTGGATAAAATGATGGTTATGCAAACCATGCATTATTAAACTTTTAAACTTGGAAAAATAATAACATATATTGAGTTCTTCCAGTTTTCTAGTAAGTTTCTTTCTGATATAATACATTCTTTTAAAAACTTGACTTCACATGACCATATTTCTTTGTAAAAAGTATTTAGATTATTTACGTGACAACACTTCTTTTGTTCTTCAGTTTTACTATATTCTTATGTAAACAAGTTTTTATTTCAAATGATTTTTTATCAAGCTAAAGTCTAAAGCTATTTTTTAAAAATATTTTAATATGATTGTTTTGATTTTTTTAAAGAGAGAGGAAGGGAGAGAGAGATAGAAACAACAATGTGAGAGAAACATCAATCAGCTGCCTCCTACACCCTCCCTACTGGGAATCGAGCCCACTACTCGGACATGTGCCATGACCAGGAATCAAACCAGGACCTTTCAGTCCATGGGATGATATTCAGTCCACTGAGCCATACCTGCCAGGCTAAAGCTATTTTAATATACATACAAATATATATATATTACAAATTATATATACAAAAATATAATATATATATACACCTACACACACATGCATATATACAAATATGTGTGTGTGTGTGTGTGTGTGTATATATATATAAATATATATATATAACCAAGATAAGATATGAATTGCAAAAGGCACCAAACACTTTGGAAGGGATGTTCCAACCTGTCCCAGACTAGCAGAACTATCGCTAGTGTAGGTGATCCCTCTGTTTTGATGGGTTTTATTTCTTAGTTCTTGCAAAGGTGTCTGAGAGATATGACAATCCCATCTCATCAGGTACTTTCAGTTTGATGCCATTCATGTAGTTGATCGACCATCTTGAGGTCTCATAGGATATTCAGGTGATCAGGGTTGCTGAAGACAAAATTAGGCTGTAGAGCTGGACATTTAAGAGAACGCTGAAACAAGATGGTGTAAGTACAGTGCTGTTGTTGCTAAGGAGGCAATAAATGTTTCTGGTGGTCTCTGTTTATAGAGATACTTTTAAAAAGTGTGTTGTCATTTGTTCGACATTTACTGTAATAACTATTGCAAGGATCTTAGTTGATTTTCTTCAGTGGAGAAACCATATTGGCTGTGTTTGTAATTACCACCCGATTAAATGTATGGTTGTTTACAAAGATTAGTTTGGCTTCTACAAATACCAACAAGGTCATTTAAATTTGAATGTGTTTATAACTCTCATCATTTATTCTTCCATATTTTTTATGGTAGCACTAATTGCTGCATTTTCCCAGGGACACAATAAAGATTCGTGTTTACTCCTTTGGTCAGAGGAAGATGCTGTAGTTTGCCCATTACTTTAGCTTTACAGCTTTTGCTTCATGGGCCTCAGAGACAAGAGATAGTTCTGCCAGTTGCAGGGTATCTTCCAAATATATAACAATGATCTGGTGAAATAATCAAAGGATAGAATGGAAGTATTACTGTGCCAGTTGTAATATGGACTCAGGACAAAATCTCATTCATCACATGACCTCCACAGCCTCCATTCAGATCACCGTTTCTTAGTATTATTCTGGATCCAAAGGAATTAGTGTTAGTTCAGAGGCAGTATTCAGTA